ACCGCTGGTGGTGAAAATTTTGGGGCCAGTTCAACTTCAGGTAAACCTGCTCCTTCTTCTCTTTCAGTCTTCTCCTTACGAGGCTAGAATTGAAAGGTTTTTCATATTTAAACAGTAACTTCTAAGAAGAGGCTCTAACAGGTTTGATTGGTTCTGCTGGAGTGGGCGGTTTTGGAGCTAGTTCGAATTCAGGTAATCCTGCTCCCTCTTCTCCGCTTTGACCCCTCTCCTTAAGAACCTAAATATTTTAAAGGACTTTTCTCATTCGCAAAATCAGTTTCCCAAATCAGTCTCGTACAGGTTCACGTTGTAATGTTTGAGATGGCTGTTTTGGTGCTGATGGTGTCAGGTGAGGGCGTGTGAAGGTAGATTGCGCTGACGGCGGAGCAGGCAAATCAATTTCTGGTAGTCCTTCTCCTTCTTCTTTGCCTTGAACGTGCTCCTCCAGAGCCTCCTAAAAGCCTTTCTGATTCCTAAAAATGCCCATATTAAAAGAAAAGTCGCACATGTTCACGCTGTAGTGCCGAAAGTAGCGGTTTTAAGTAAGGGCTTACGGTAGCCCCTCTAGACTGAGTCAATGGAGGAACAGCTAGTTCGATTGCTGGTAACCCCGCTTCTTCATTATTTTCGGCCTGCAGTGCATGCTAAATTTGAGGGCTTTTCATCTGAAGGACCTTTATAAAGGGCTAGGGAGTGAAGCGTAGAGCTGAAAGTGACAGTTTTACCTGAAGGCGTGTGGTGGTTTCCAAAGATTGTGCCGCTAGCGGTGCGAAAAGCTCCATTTCCGGTAGTCCTGCTCCTTCTTCTCTATTTTGAGTCCGGTCCTCATGAATCTGAAGTTATCATGTATCATGGAGTACTTAGTCAAATTTTCTTAAACTTAGAATTGTTTCCAGCTTGGCATGATGCGTGCATTCAAACAGATTTGACAGAAAGGACAGTGAAGAGTTGTTTTGCTTAAGCAGTAGTGTCTTTGGATAACCCAACAAGCATCTTACTATTTGACCAGAGTCGATTCTTTCATA